TCAGGCGGAGAAAGCTGCAGCAAGGACAGAGGCAGAAAAGGTGATAGCCAAGGAGGGAAGGAAAGTTAAGGAAGCTGAAGCAAAGATGAAGCTGCACGAAACCAAAGCAGAGAACGCAGCAGAAAAGCTAAAGCATTCTCGCCCTGTTTATGGTCACCACGACCCAGTGGTTGGAGGAGGTCAAGGGCATCATGCCCCTGTTGGGACTGCAGCCAACCCAACAACTGTGGTTCCAACTGCTGCTTACCCTGCGGGGAGCCATCCTCCCGGCCACCATCATACCAAACACGTCTAGCGTTTCCACAGTCAGTGTATGTATGGGTGCTTGTCCAGCTGCTTTCTGCCTGTAATTGACTGCAAGTTTATGTTCGTTTAAATTCCGGATTGGAGTAGGCAAGTTTCCTTGTACAATTTAGAAATCAACAAGCAAGAAGCGCCGGTCTAGTGTACTTCCAGAATAATTGGAATCTGATGGGGATTACTCATTGATACAGTGTTATTACACAATTCTGACAAATCTCTCTTTCATATTCTAGGCAAAACCACAGAATAAAGCACCGTCTTCAACATATATAATTTGTGAGAGAGAGTTCATGAATGACAGAATGATTGTATACATTAACATTCAAAAAGCACCAATTTCGAGTTCCTCAAGTTAATTTTACAATTTGTTAATAATAACAAGAAAAAGAACACGAAAGTTCATGTTCTAGGAGTCCAGTAAACACGCTAGATGGACTAACCAATGACCAATTTGTGATCTAGTAAATCCCGGCAGGGGAACCACCTCAAAGAAGATCAATTACACCCACTCCAGCCTACCTTGGTATTCCACACCAAATTGAATTGTACCGTTGAGACATCTTGCTTGGTTGCTCAGCTTCACCGGCCTGGTGCTGTATTTGGCTTGAAACCTCGGCAATGACTTGTGATGCTCTTTATCTATTGCATATTTCTCTGGGGGAATCTCATCAAGGAACTCATCTGCAACATCACCATCTTCATCCATCCTAAGACGCTTGGCATACCATCTAAATCCCTGAAACGTTAAAACAAGGATCGTTTAATACAGACTTTTGTTTATCATGAAAGAATAGTTAGCTAAACTTCAGAATTTGCACGAGTGAAGCAGAATACACAGAGACTAAATGTCTCGGCTAAGACCAAAACTACTATGCCCCCATAGATCTTCCCTAAGCTGCCCAATAAGGGCAAAGTTTGCAGGCAGCTGGTCAAATAACCATTATTAAAGCACGAGTTGCCTCATGAAACTGCTAAGTCGGCCATCATATTTGTTACCACCTCTCAATACAGCAAACTATCCCAGATCCATTAAACCAACTTTAAATTTCAAATGAGATATCTTGCAAACTGCCCCACGTCAATTCAATGCTACAACAAAATTAGCATAGGATTCAGCTTATATTCATGCCAGCTCAACATGGACTCTGATTGATACGAACTGTATAGAGGATTAATGAGGACTCAAGACAAAGACAGAATACCATGATGCCCAGTTGAAACATGATCCAGTATACATTTGACAATGGCTACAAACAAACCTAATCAGATTCTTATCAAGACAAACTGGGCAAAGTGGCAACTTCATAATTAAGTTTTTACTTGAGTGTTCAACAACAAAAAGTTCAGAAGTCTACATAACCATTAAGGTTTACCCGACCGTTGCCAGAGACTGACAAACAGACAGCAGTGGAAATCAAAGCATAGAATAGAGAACCTGTAAAAGACAAACATAGGGATTTAGCAAGCATCACAGACAATATAAAAACCAGACAGCGTTCTCGGACAACAGGAACTGATTACATGTTTGCGATATGGATTGCGTTAGCCATAACAGGACCCAGAAGACCAAATTAAACAATGTCACAAGCTTAGCAAGTGCAAAAAGGATTTTTAACACATACAGGAAGGGAGAAATGTCAGGGGCTAAGCAAGCTATATGTCATGAACTCTTGCTGTTTAATCATCAATAATCCAACCTTTCTCCCGTTGAGGTACTTTGGTCCCATTTGTTATTGAGTTTGCCCGTGTATGCCAAATTTTGACGGCCACAATTACCAGATTATAAGGTTCTAAATTAATTATACTTATCACTCAAATAACTAAATTTGAAAAGGCTCATTTTCTCTTACTGTACAATGAAACAGGAAATATGGTCAACTGCACACAATCACATCAGATGCAACCAAAAAATTTTCCTTAAAAACATTGGATTTCACTTAGGAAGCGAGTAGAAGACTGGGGAGGAAAAAAGAAAACAAGCAAAAGCAAATTTAAAGACAACATAAAGGAATTCTTACAAGTTGACGACACTGTTACAAATTATGGAAATACAGATGATGAAGAATTAAGACAGAGAAAGACTTTTCTGAATTATAGAAGAATGAATTTCCTAGATGTAGTAATTGCACATGAACAACCTATGTTTCTGGCTGACATAAGTCGAGTACACCACTCAGTTTGCATTACACCAGGATCGTGCAATATCAGTGGCATGCTAAGCTACAATTAACATGCTTAAAAAGAAGTGTCTTAGCTTGTTCATCAGCATGCCAGCATCATAAAAAATTATTCCTTCCATTAATGACATAAACATTTAAAAAAAAAATGCTTCTTTACACTGATTTTTTAAAATTGAGCTCCAGAAATATCTAGCGCAGCATGAAAAATCAAAACTTTTCTCCCTTGTGATGAACCATTTGTTCTTTCTTTACTTCTAACAATTGGCATGTACACTCATATTGCCAACAGCACGATGCATTACCACTTATCGATGTACCTAGGCTTACAATTACAACTATGCAACCTGACACCAGCTGAGTAACATCGGAGAGTTCAAGCTTGCCACGGTCCTTAAATAGGAGATAAGCTAACAGAAAATGATCTAGTTGACAGAATATGAGTTCTGCTCATCGTGATACACTCCTCCAGAAATCGTCAATTTCCATCAACATAAGCTAACAGCTACGGATTCAACTGCTGCCCACTTCCCTATAGCTCACAAGTCACAACCTTTATATTAAACTACTTGCCTCAATCAGAACAAGATATCTGCTTACTATTCCGCACTTATCATTACCCCAAAATCAATACGTTGACCATCCATTCACTAAAACATGTAAATCAATCACAATTATTCCACAATAATCGCATACTTTTATCTGAGCACTGCTCACTACAACACAGACTAAAAATCGTTCAAAACCATGATCAACAGCAATAAACTCATAATTCGAGTATTAAATCCATGCTAGTTCAACTAAATTTTGCAACTTTAAACGCTCAGTATCGCTAATTTCACATATTACAACACAACTCGTCAATAATTTCAATCAAAATTGGAATAAAAGTAAAATTTGGTGAAAGATTTTAACCTGAACGCCGCCATTGCCGGAGGAGCAGGGGACGAGAACAGGACCGGATAGAGGTCTATCGACGGCGACTTGGACGGGGACACTGAAGCCTTTACGTTGGGGATGCTGAGCGGCTGCGGAAGTGGAGACGGCGTCGTTCTCATCCTCTTCTTTCAATTCTTCTGCTTCATCTTTGGCGATCCCTAAAAACCCAGCTAGTCTTCTGAATAAACCCATCGGCCCTTGCTTGTGTATAATTTTATCATGCGGGAAGATAAGAGTTCCTATACGAATGGGTTAGACGGATGGAGAGAGAATACGGGTGCGCCGGCGGCGAAGGAGCGAAGTGGAATTTTGGTGAAAGCAAGAAGGGCAGTTCGGGAATATTTTCCTGGGAATGACGACGATGTCGAGAGCTACAAGGACGAGGAAAGACTTTAGACAGGGAGAGAAATAAGAGAGACTCGGCCAATTGGATTGCTCGAGTTTGAGCTTTGAAGGCCCAATAGAATAAAGTACTCTCTTTTTTTCTTTTTTCTTTTTTTTTTGTTGTGTTTATTTATGTCTACAGTCTATATGCATTCGGAATTGCATCTCTCAATTTTTTTTCAATGTCCAAATGGACTTGCAAATCTCCATTGGGATTGGATTTCCTTCTTTTAATATAAAATTTGGTAGAATTTTGACTTAATTATGTGAAAATACATGACTCTTGAACAATTTTACTACTCATTAATCAAAGTGTGAGCATGTTTGTTTGGATTGAGGCTTATTTGCCAAAATTTATTTGCTTACATCATCATTACAATTTTCAACACATCTTTTTATCTTTCCAATTATCTTTTTATCTCACATACATCACATCACAAAAAGTGCTACAATAAAAATATCTCAAATAATTTACAATCCAAACAGAGCCACGTGCAAACCGCTACCATATATAGAGCCAATAGACATATTTCGCACAAATGTCATCACTTGTTTCCTGAAAGTGAGAATTTTGATTCTTGTTCACCATACGCTATTCAGGATTTGTTTGGATTGTAAATTATTTGGGATATTTTTACTGTAACACTTTTTGTGATGTGATGTATGTGAGATAAAAGGGTAATCAAAAAGATAAAAAGGTGTATTAAAAATTGTAATGATGATGTAAGCAAATAAAATTGGAGAAATAATGCTCAATCCAAAGATTTGGTGGAAAAGATTCTGATAAGATTCAGAAGTAGCATTTGTGCACTTGTAAAATATTATATTTGAAGAATCGATAAAGGGAAATTAGTGAACAAAGAGTAATTAAGTTCCTTTTACTTGAGGAAGGATTGAATTAGATGGTCACGTAAAGAAAATCGTAATAAGAAGTCATAAATTCCTGGTCCGCGCTACGCGAGCATTCTGCAAACCTGCTCGTGCAGGGATGATTTCTAAAATTGCACATCCCGACGAGAAAAGGGAAATTATCAAGACCTGACACGTACATTTACATGCATTCATACTTGCAAACAAGAATTTGACTGAGCACTATTTTCCAAACAAGCGTAACCTTGACGAGCACCATCACAAACACACAGCTAGTTCAACGTAGCATTGGAGGAACATCCCCGAGAACTTGGGTCATTTATCAGATTCAATGAACTCATTTTGAACAATAAATTGATAACACATGCAGAACTAACAATCATTGTGTCAGGAAAAATGGCATCTGATCTATGTATATAAATGACTTACAAATTACATGCTGCTTCAGAGTCAAAACTCTTCCATCTCTCTCTCTCTCTCTCTTTACGCGAAAAGTATCTCTCAAATTATACACGACACAAACATGAGACTGAAGCGTGTGGGGAGAACGGATCCATCAGTAGCATCTTATGCAAATCTTCCAATTCTGAAAGCCATGCTTGTCTGAATAATTTTCCCCACGGTACAACAAGCCTGTAGAAAACATTCCACACCAGCACCCACAGGTCCTGTGGTTCCTAACATCTAATCTCATATGAACCGGCCTTTGTAATGTAACGGACCCACTCAACTGTATTGTACCCACTCTTCTCCCATACCTGCAGAAATGCAGTAGTAGTTAAGAGCCATTTCTATTATAAAGAAAGCACTCAGCCACCAGCCAATGAAAATACCTTCAGAAAACGCACACGCAATCCAGATGCTGTAAACATAGGAACCTGCAAAACAAAAATAGGTCCATATCAATCTTTGTTTTACATTTGCTTGTAGTCAATCAATCTTTCTCAAAACAAAATCAGCGCTCAACTAAGAGGAGAAAGAGGGCCCTAAATACTCGAAATTAATGTACACGTTTACTTTAATTATACCAAGTACCAAAGTGAGACTAAGCTGTTTATATCATCTCCCATGTTCTTTCCTTTGCTGTGAACAATTCATCAATGTAACATGAGTGAGAACAGAAGATACCAGGAACAACAAATAAAGGGCACATTGCAGTTTTAATCCCCTAAATTTTGGACTAATTCCACTTCAGTCTCTTACAGTTTGAATACATTTCATCCTTCTCTTTTGTACCAGTCTCATTTCAGGTCCATGAGATTTAACTTTGACATATTTGCTTCTTTTTTTACTTTAGTACATTGTTAATCATCCTCAAAAAGCACAATTTTAGAAGAATAAGTAAACAAATGTCCCAATACTGAAACATGAAAGCCAAAAGTAGGATGAAATTCAACCAAATGTATTGTAACTGAAACAAGAGGAACTAAATTGAGACTGATATTAATCGCAAGGGATGAAGTCTAACATTTAGTTGCCCAAAAATAAAGAGATGCTAATTTTGCATTGCTCAGCACCTAGTACTGTGATCTGGGACCAGAAAACTACCTATCTAAACTTTTGTTAAGTAATTTGCCTACATTCATGACACCTAGCATTCAAACTTGGAGAAAAATTATATCATGCCTCAGAAAAGGAAGAAAAGTTCGTTTTGCAATCCCTACTCTTGCCAGCCTAGCTGATGAAAAAAAACCTTTTGTGGACCTGTTATCTTAATCATAAAGCTGTGACACTGGGAACATAACATGATAGACAATTGAAGAAAAGGCTTGTAAACATAGAAATTGGTAAGATACCTGAAACTCCATCTGAATTGGTGGCCTAGTCCAAGACTTCTTTTCTGCCATTGTGGAAATCAACTCCACTTCGGCACTTAGTGTTGGTTCAGTTTGTCCAGGAAATTTTCTAATCCTGCAAGATACAAAAAGAAAAGGAAACTTATGTTACTGTAGACCACCAGCCACCATTGAGGATTAAGGAATACCTAGAACAGGATAAATAGTAGTTTAGCATAAAAATGTGGTCTAAAAGGTATGCAACTAAAAATCATAGGCTGTCTTCAACAAACTAACGAACATTATGTACCATGACCAATAGACAAAAATCTTGAGTCCACTACATCCCGACAGTCTGCTGCCATATAGCTACCAGGTATCAACGGTGTTTTTAATCTCTCAAAGAAGTTAAGCTCTCCACAGAATATAAATACACTTGTACGATGAGCTTTACAATTATCACAAAAAAATATTATCTTAATTTTATAAGCTGACGTGTCTTAAAATGTTACTGTAGCATCTGCTTTAAATACTAAACAGCGGCACTTCAATAAAATGTATTCTAGGCACCAAGGAGAATCAAATTCAAGCCCAACAGAAATGATGTGCAAAATCTGGAGAAGAAAAAAAGCCAACCAATGAATGTACATGAAGAACAATTTCAGCAACGTATATAAGCAATATAAAAGGTACTTGCAAGAGGATGTTATTCTACAGTAGCACTCCTTTGCATATACTTGTCTTGATCAGACAGAATTGTGGTATACATTTATTGAGAAGGATAGCTCCATTATAGTTAAGAGTAATTACATACAGATGCAAGACATAGAATATTGCATCAAATACTCACTTCCAGACCAAACAGTCAATAGATGCATTGTATTTCGCTCGACCGGATGTAACTTGGAAGCTCGTTTTTGCTGTTTGTTTTGGTACTGGAATCTTAACGACAACGCCAAGTGCAAACATTTTTGCACCAAAAACACTCTTAACCTGGATGCAAATATACAAACTGAGCAAATGATAACAGCAAGTAGATTGCATATATCCAAAAAATAAGACGACAAACCTTAACATTCACTTCCATGCGTGTACGGCCAAGTTCCTTGATAGTTGGCAATACCCGGAAAGGGAGATTCACACCCTCAGTGATACGGTACCTGAAATCAAAGTACATGCGTGTCTAATCAAGAATGAACTAAACAGAGCCATGTACGTGGGAAAACAAAATAAACTAAACCAACAAGCCTCATAATTAGAGAAATGAAGATTACATAAAATGGACTCGTATAAAATTAAGTACGTTGTCAGAAACAGAATACACAAACTGCTAACTTATATCAGATGCTCATGACTACAACATCCTTTGGCTGATGTAAAAATGAGGTAAGAAACTATTCAGAATAACCCCACCCACTCAACTATCCCACCACATGCACCCCCAAAAAAACTTGAGAAAAGGAAAAAGGAAAAATAAATCTTAAAAAAAACTGTCATCCAAGAATTCAATTTGAATACACTAGAAAATTTGACCAGCTCTCCTACATACTCAAATGAGAAGAAATTTTTATTTGTCATCAAATCTTGGTATCAATTGATACCTAAATAGTACAACTCCCCAGAGTGTGAAAAGCAGAAACCAGACCGTAAAATTTTAGCATTCTAAAATAAAAGATCCTCCAAGGAGATGCATTTTGCTCAGAAGGAAAAGTACAACCAAGCAATTTTTCAATAGGCTTAGGTATTATAAAATATTTGCAACCAAATGTATTCTGCATCTAATGTTCATGTATTCTCTGTATGCAATTGGCAAGCAATAGACTCAAAAAAAACCATCAAGTAGCCTACAGTTTGATCTGTAGCAATTGCCGTATGTTGTTTTTTAATGCGAAGATGAACACACATAAATGTAAAAAGGACAACAGACACAGTCATTTTGGATGTTACATTACTGCTTACAGCCACTATCAGAGCCCAGCATCAGAAAGTAAAAGCATGTGAAAAAAATTCTTCTGACAATCATCCAAGGGGAAAAAAAAAAAAAGAGAAACGGGAAACCTAGCATAGTTTGCTGAGGGACTACAAGCTTACTTCATCAATTCAAATTCACCATCAGGAGGAACAAAGCTGACCGTTTTCTCTGAGTTGAATCTCGTCAAATTTACACATTGGTGGAAGGTAACGTCATCAAGCTCAATAGTTTTGCCACTGCAAAAATTACATACCACTCAGGCAAAAGACATAGTAGAAAGAGGAAACCTGATCAAGCATGTGCTAACCAAATTAGCTTGTAAGCAGCAAATCTGTCAGAGTCTGAGGAAAAAATAAGAAAAAGTATCCATGGCAGAATATAAAGTACCAATTTGTGAACATTACATGTGTAGAAAAAGCTGTCCTCAGACTTTAAAACAATAAAACAGCCCAAAGAGGAGCAAACAATAAGGTTCTTCACCCTTTTACAGCAAGGAAAGGTTACATGCATCTAACCACTATATCCAAAATGGCAAAGAAATACAAAGAGGAAAAAGCCAACATTCTAACATTTTGTTCTTTAAAGTACAACCCATTTTTTTAAATAACGTATAAGCAGCACTAAAGGCACCAAATGGTTGCCACCCAGACCACAACGAAAAAACTGTGAATGCAAAAATCTATTTGCTTGATAAAAAATATTCAGCAATTCATAGGCATTCACTCAAAGAACATCAATAAACCCGAAATTAATGGGTACTCCGGTTCTCAGTTGTGCTATTTTCTTAAAAGCTCCACTTGACGCCGTCTTTCCTTCCTCTCCAAAGTGACCAAAAACTATGGAAAGGTTCAGAAACCAAACATGAGTCCCTACCAACCTCAGGCTCTAATACACTCCATCGGAACCAAAGAACTTTCTAAATTGCCAAAGAGTTCTATTCTTTTTTATTCATGTTACCACAAAAGCCAAGGGTGAAAAATCACAATTACCTCTTCGTAGGACGTGATTTTATCTGTGACTCTTTCTCCAGGCCAATCTTATCATTCAAACCCAGCTTTAAATCAGGCATTCCAGAAAGGAAGCACTTCATGAGAATTTTCCCAGTTACATCACATCGCAAAACACTGCCTATAAGTGTCAAGATGATATAAGAAAGCAGCATACATGAATATAGAGCAATACATCCTTTAGGCTAAATTGAACTTACCTTTTGAAGACATAAGAAGATTGACGCTTTCCACAATATCTAGAAACACCTATTAACCAAAAACAGTATAATTAAATATCAACCAATTAAGTTCAACGAACAAAGTATCAAAGAAAAAGGAAAAAGAAATACCTCATTCTTCTTGTATACAAGACCCTCTCTACGCCAGCCAACAGCACCAGTAACTTGTAAAGTTGCATTAGGCACCGGTCTTTCTGCAGCCTGTTATGGAATTCAAATAGAGATTAGATCAGTATTCATATAATACTTGTACACAGGGACTCTTCAAAACCAGTACACCATGAACATTCCCAAATATTTCCAAAGAACAAGCAAACATCTAACCTTAGATGAAAATGGTGAGCGTACACCTTCTTGTGTGATATAAAGCTTCAAGATTTCCGGTGAAAGATTTTGTGGATAACCAAAGTCCATTATCTCTGCATTGAAATCATAACATCAATCCAATGGCCTGTATGAAGATACTAGAATTCTGAATGAAATGCATACAAAAATCTACAAATAGATACGTGTCAACAATGCAGCTCTAACCACGCAAATAAGTAATCTCATCCACACAAAAGAATGCAATTCACACCCCACAAGATATACAAATTGACAGAAGAAATCCGCCAAAGATTAAAACAAGGTAAGGCACTAAAAACAAGCTTTTGGTACTCATCCTGAGTCTTAACAAGCAGATTGTTTGGCACACTGATAACAACAATATACAGATCAATGATAGAGGAAATACAGATTTACAAGTGAATATCTAAAAGGTACTGATCAAAGATGTCCAAGGTATTCTTGGAAGGTAAGGAGTGTACCATCCAACAGCTCATAGATTAAAACAAAATTATTCCGAATAGCATCTTCATCAAAAGCCCCGCCAAAATAGGATTTGAATAAATTTACTGCCTGTGGGAAAAAAATAAAAGTTGAAAACCGGGTTAGATCAGTTAAAGAAATTAGCTGCTCTTAAAAATATAACAAATTTTACTTGTCAAGCCAATATGAAATGCAGACTGCACAAAAGGCATGGGTTCTGTTGTACAAATAAATCAATAGATGAATACATACTTTTTTTAAACTACCAACATGAAAGAACTGAACTGAACCAGAGATGAAGGCAGTTATCAAAGAATATCAAACTAACTATAGGTGATAAAGCAGAGACAACACATGGGGCTGATGCAGCCATAAAGAAATTAAGCAAAGATAAATTTCGAGAATATTGGACGTTTTACTTCAAACATAAAGCATTACTTCATTAGTTTAATCCATATAAAACGTGGGCAACCGAAATGTAGTAGTATCCAGTGTAGGAAAATCACTCCGATCTCCTCATGTTTTATATTCTAAATTATATAAAGTAATGGTAGTATCATAATTCCAAGAATTTCTGGAGTTTCCACAAAACAGGAAAAGGGTTACTATCCAGAGTCAAAGTTATGTCATAAATTATTTATTGTATGTCTTCTGTTTCTCAATGTCCATTTTACCCCTTATATTGCAACTTTTCTCGTTAGTAATTAAATTATAAGCTTACCCAAGAAATCATACTTATCTTGCATTATGCTACACTATTTTAACTTAATAGGTGCTGACCAGTTCAACCCTTGAAAAAATTCCTGGAATGGTATCCTCCTCTTACCTACTGTGAGAAAATGCACAACAATTCCAAGTGAGCTACAATTTACATGGATGAAACTAAATCACCATTCACATTACTGTTTGGACAACAATCCTCCAACCTTTTCAGTTTCGAAAACTTTATCTCCTTAAGTTTTACCCCATCCATTGTTCAAGTAGAATCCCTTCCAAGTTCATAGTTCTCATCCAATTTCACAACAAGCCTTCGCAAGACAGACCATGTGCCATCACCCTCAAAGCTTTGCAGCCTCAAGGATATAAGTTATACATTGACCCCAGAACTTAATAGTAGTACCCTCGTCCCAACATCTAGTAATTTATCCCAAGCAAGAACATTAACACCTTGACAACTTTAGCTAAACGTCTATTTAAACACTTTTCAAGCTTACCATGTTTATTGAGGTTTTGTCATTTTGTTTTATACATATACACCTCAATACCTACACAAACTCTGTTCAAGCATCGGCAGTGATGTCATTTGAATGAAGGGAGTGGTAAGGAAACCATATTACCCTACTAACACCAATTCGACAAGCAAGCAAGACATATAGCTTAGTAATTATAACAAACTTCAGCTGTAAAAGCTACGTCACAACTTATAAAAAAAATAAAAAAAAAAACTTCCACACACTTCTTAAGTGTATGAATTAGGTAGCAGCTGAGTACCTCAACAACGAACTTAAATGCACAAGCAACATTGGCATTGCTGCTCACAACAATCACAATGTAGACGTTACTGATTCTCATGTAAAAGAAAGAGCATCCTCCAATCTGGCGCACTGGGCATGTTCCGAGCTCTTTTGTTTGCATTATATGCATTCGAAAGGCATCAACCATATTGCCCCTGATAAGAATGAAAAAGAGCATGTGAGCTAAACTTGTTTGCAAGGTCACGTGATAACAGAACTTCTTGCAATAAGATAAAGACAGAACTAAAAATTCATAAAATAATAGCAACAATAATAACTGCCAGACCAGCCAGAAAAGAACTGCACAAATGGGGCTTGGAACTGGAAAATAAAATGGTTTTAGAAGTTCAATCCTTCAATTGGTCAACTTGAAAGTGAGCCAGTTGTTAACTAATATATTAACTTGTATTCCTAATGAGGGAAAAATTGTATATTTCCTAATCAAGTTGTTAAATAATATATTAACTTGTTTTCCTAATGAAGAAAAAATTGTATATTCCCTATATGGGACAAGAAGAAAGGATCGGCTTTAACAATTAAACACATAATGATATTATGCTATTGCAGAAATTATGAACATGAGATACTTGACACATTATTGGGCACATCTGCTGCACAAAGGACAAAGTTGGAAGAGTTTGAAATGAAAATGGATATGAGTTGTTTCTAACAGTAGTTGAGAACTTGTGATATTGAAAAATTGAAAGATTCTATGTCCCTTCAAGATAAGGGAAGTGATATAGATGCCAGACTGGCTTGGCTGAATGAGTGACAATCTGCTTTTTCTTGCCTTCCTCTTTCAGATGAATTGATTAGTGTACTCAGTCTAGTATCGCTGCCCTTACTTTTAGTCAGATAAGGCCCCTTTTTTCTCTTTAGTGTACAATATCTGCTCTTATCCAGCGTTTGAATTGAAAAATTTTGTCAAACAGGCTTTGCATGTGATTAACTTTCATTTCAGTAGGAAGAAAGGTACACATAATACTATACCATCAAGTACAAAGAAAAGGCTTCATGAGGTAGAATTACGAAAAGCCAGACTAAGAGAAAAACGAATTGGGAGCAAAAGACTCCTAAAACAACCTAATATTGTTGGAAAGAGATGTTTCTTATCATATTTAGATGTGGAAAGAGATGTTTCTTATCATATTTAGATGTGGTGCATCATGTAACGCTGGCAAATAAGCAAAGTAGTTCAAAGCTAATCTATTATCTTCCTATCTATATCACTGTGCCGTCATTAACTCAAAACAAAACTATATGCGTTATTACTAAAATTTCCAAATGTCCCACCTGAAAAGCTAATCAGTTTCAAAACCTCTGAAACTTTTACTAGGCCCCGTATCCTAGTACTGTAGAGTAATTATTTTAGCTGGTTGCCAACTGTCAAGAATTTTTTGTCGTCTGGATTGCAGCAAGACTTGAGCTTTTTTAAGCTTAAGAAGAGCAAATGAAATGAATCCAGCATAAAGCAATATCAGATCCTAAAACCAACTCGCAGACGAAAAATTGCATCTATAGAAGCCTCATTCTGCAGAATACCTACAATTTTTCTGCTTCATACTCCCCCGTTTACTCGAAAGATGGTAAAAGATAAAGTTAAACAATTCAACAATATTTCCACTACTTTAAAGCAAAATTAGACACTCAAAAGGAAAAAAAACGTCGCAAACATCAAGCTACTGCTACTTCGAAGAATCAAATCACTCAAATTAAATCGCATGATAGGAAAAATCAGAGGTAATTGTAGGTCTTTTACCCGACGTCATCGCGGTAGAGGCGATTGATGAGGACATCGCCGCGAAGATTTAAGAAATATATAGCCGACGCCGCCACCGGCATAATTCAACTCCGATTTCTTCCTTCCCCCAATTAGCTGGTACTCCTAGATCAGATGAGAATGAGATCCAGGGTACTCAATTCGACCCTCGAGGTGTCATACAACAACCAAAAAATTGCATCAATTTTAGATGAATGAAAATGCAAATGGAGAAAATGTTGATGCCGAAATGGTTCAAGTAGTAAGATCTGAATTTGTCTGCGGAGCTGTCAAGGAAAATTACGATAGCATAGAAGAAACGTTTCTCCTGGTCAATATCATCATACTTTTCCCTTCCTTTTACCAAAAAAAATGCATTTCCCTTCCACAGTGTGTTTATTCCACGTGCATTTCACATGACTTCTCTTCAATTCTTTTTTTTTTTTTTTTTTTGGTGTAGACTACAAAATAATTATACCCAAAGTTGTATAGTTTTTTTTTTTGGAAAAATGGCCAATTTAGGCCTTGTTTGATAACCTCATTCACCATTTAAATTTAATGAATTTATATCTTAACATGTTCAGATGCATTTGATAACCAAAAAATTGAACATCTGAATTAATTAAGTAGTTATTTACTTATCACTGAATGTGATATACACTCAGATATATTAGATTTAATAATTTAATAATTTAATGAATTCAGATTTCATATTTTAGTTTTTAAACTTTAATTTTATCAAATGCACCCTTATCTTAAAATTTTTTTTCCATTGATTTCATCCCCTTAATATTGTTTTTAGCCAATTTGATTCATAAACTTATACTACGGTTCCAATCAAGATCTCAATGGCGGCGCCACCGCATAAATTCAATCGGACTCCTAATCGAGCAACCAAGAAGGGGTATTTTGGGGATTTTCGGTGTTGGGGTTGTAACAAAAAGAAGTAAATTGATGAAAAACCCCAATTATAAACCTGGGGTTTACCCCAAAAAAGGAGATCTGCCCAAAATTTTTCAAATTCGTGTACAAAAATCACTACAATTAAATGCATCCGAGGAGGAATTGGGACAAAAATGCTTAGGGGTGTGCATCGAATTCAATTTCGGTAAATCAAAACTCTGAATTCGGAATCTTTGGAAATTGGAAGTTTCGGAATCTTTGGATATTAGAAGTTTCAACCGATTTCAATTTCGAATTCACAAATTTTGATTTAGATTTCATTTCGGAATTTGGTAAACTACTGAATTCACCGAATTCGGTAAACTTATAAGTTGATAACATAATTTGCTAAATTAGATGCTAATTTTTGTTTCCATACAACAAACTTAATTAGACTCACTATTATTATATAATCTAATTAGTAGTTAGACCTTAGAGGTATTATTATATCATATAAATATTTTATATTACATAGATGTATTAATAGTAATACATATATATATATGCATATGTATATTATATATACGAATTTGAATTCAAAATAGGTACTTGATTTACCAATTTCTAAGGAATTTTTGATTCGGGAAACGTAATGTCGAATTCAAACCTATTTCGTACAATTCGAAATTAGAATTTTTGATTTCCTTTTCGCTTTCTGTTTTTGCCGATTTCAAAGTTCCGAATTGAACTCGAAATTGGTCGTGTTTAGGGAATTTCAATTGGTATTTAATTTGATTATGGATTAAACGTCCGTGTTGAAGAAAAGGGGTTAAAAAAAGAAATGATTGCTTCTTATGAATATTCTTTTTGCTGTACTTCCAAATTCCATAAAGATGAAGTTGGTGGCTCCGAATTCCTTTTTCGATCAGTGCATTGCAAAGCTGCATGAGTAAAGCTTGGAAGCAAAATCTTATATGCAAAAATCATTTGCCGCTGTGCGAGAGTGTTTGCATGACTTGTAATGGGACGCCGCCACCTACACCACTAACATGTAGTAGCAGTTTTCCCGTTTAGTTGGATTGGCTGCCATACTGACTGAATCCAGTCCAGCAACATGATATGATAGACCAATCAGTCCCCCAAACACTAACCTACCTACTCATACTCCTTAATCTCTTCTCTTTTCTTTTTTTTTTTTCCTTTTCTTTGTTTGCTCCCTATATAATCAGTCTGATTGTGATATATATTCTTAATTTCAATTGCTCTAGCCACAGCGTTCAGGAGCACTATGATACCGGTCACTGAGAGGATTTCAGCGAGAAGAGGCTATCCTGTAGAGCCTGATATCTCAATGCTCCTCGACTCGGCAGCTAGACATTTCTGTAAGAAATTTGAAACAAAATAGGCTTCACTTTTTTTTTTTGCTCCAGTTAGAAGAACAGACTTCTGCTAATGCTGATGTTTATACAATGCTCGCCCAAAGCTGATGTTTCATTCTAAAAGATTTCATTTATTCAACCTCAAGTGAAAACTTGGAGCCAAAAGCACGAGATTCAACGTCAAAAGTCCAAGAAATGCTAGAGCCACTGCAGAGTTTGCCCTTTCTTTAATCTTCTCCTCTGAATTGGTCCCCCGTTTGCTTTCAATCTCGATAGCCTCTTGTTGCCGGAAAATTCGATAAACCCTTTCAAGCCTGCAACTTCAGACCCTACTACGACAAAAATTACAATGTTAATGACCAACCTACAGGATTTTCAGTTTCATCAATTCTTTTCTCCTCCTCCTGGCTTCTGCAGCAGTGGTTGCATCCTCTGACATTTTCCTGCTGTAAACCACTGGCTTTTGATACTCTTCCGATGCACCTTTTTCTCTTTGTCCGGCAGAAGATGCGGCAACCTCCGCCTTGGTTAAAGTGTCATTTCTCCTCGCAGCAGTACTTAGTCCTACAGGTAAACTAGTTGCCGGCCTGACACACCTCAAGGGTGTCGGCATGAGAACCATCCTATCAGGATAAGTTCCTCCAATGTTACCACCACCGTCTGGGGGGTATCCAAATCCAGCCTGATGGACATCATCAACGGAGCTATTCACGGTTGAATTAGAAGCTTCTGTTTTGACTTTCAAGGATAAACAGGCTTGGTCATCCTCTCCATGCAGACTGTTTTTCGCGGAAGAACTTGCGGCGCACTGATTATTTGAATAAGCTTGATTTTGTCCATCGTTTTGGGGAGAGGGCTGGCGGCGAAGAGCATTTGTTGGGGAATGCAGAGGAAAGAAACAAGGGAATGGCAGTACGTATAACAAAGCTCCTGGATTAGCAACCATCGCAGATTCTCTTTGATCAGACAATAATTCCGGCCTTGGCTCATGTGTCATGGCAAAAAGCGATGGATTTGCAATATCACATAGAGATCTGCTTCGAAACAGGGTAGCATCTAGAGGTTGAACTGCTGATGGCCAGTGAAGTGGAAGAATAGGGGATGGTGTATAAGGAGAAAATGGAGTTCTTGAACATGCAGATACAGAACATCCTCCACAATTAAAGTTTGATTCTCCTGTGATTTGCTCTGACTTGGGCTTCACCATTTTGGCCATCTGCAAAATGGACAAATAAATCGAAGTTCAAATACTACATTTGCACAGATTAAAAACTCCTCTCAGAAACAAAATGCAGTACCTGTTCCATCAAGTAATCATTTGTGTTTTTTAGTGAATCATACTCCTTCATTGCCAGCTCCTTTTTCTTCTCATAAAAAAATTATGACCCAAAATATAAATAAATAGCAAGATATATTAGAGATTTTGAGGAAGTCTCCATCTAAGTTAAAAGCTATACAAAAGGATATGCTGAAATGACCACCCACCTTCTTCAAATTCTCATTCTCCAGTGTCAGATTCGCTGCTTTTCTAGTTAACTCCTCAAATATAGCCTGGAAGAACAAACGAATGGATGACATTGATCGAATTATAGACTTTCAAAAACCAAATTAACTGGAGAAAAATGCAACTTTGAGAAACGGTGATGATAGATAGAGAGAACAGCACATCACAGGTAATCTGAGGTATAAAATATTCTGTGACGCCCTCAGAACATATCAAAGTCTTGCATTACACTGTCCATGCAAAAGACTTGAGTAGGAGAATCAATATAAAACGTTTTTCTGGATAAAAAGTAATCGTACCATTGTTGTTTCATTTACCAGATATCAACTAAATATACAAACGAGACAGCTGAGCAGTCAAAGACGTCAAAACACTATATGGCAGAATGTAGAGCCATGTTATTGAGCCAACTTACCTAGTAATAATTTTATCATCGAACACTTCACAGCAACTAGTTTTTACTTGAACGCAGAAGAAGAATTGCTCGAGTCTAGTATTTCCAAAAATAACTTTGTTTTCAAGCTCCTAACCACATATAAATAAATGACTCTAGAAAGGGCAAATTACACCTTTGTGTTTTAGTGGTTTTTCATATAATTCCCTATGATTTCAAAAGTTATACATAACATCCTCATGATTTGGATTAAAGTGTCAAAGTGATGGAAATGATCATTCGTAACGGAGTCGCCTAAAATGTCAAAAATACCCTTTTATGTAAAGTTGAAAATTATTTATTAACCAAGGGGGTTATGTATATATTTTGAAAACCATAAGGGGGTTATCTGATGAAACGCTCAACCATAAGGAGATTATATGGTAAAATATAAAAATCATACGGGATTAGTGTGTCATGCATTTATAAGGGTAATTTTGATATTTTAAAAAGCACTGCTACGAATGATTATTTCCGTCATTTTGACACTTTAATCTAAACCATAAGAGGCTTATGTATAGTTTTGGAAATCATATGAGGGTGATGTAGAAAAAATACTAAATCAGAGGAGGGTAATTTGCCCTTCTAGAAAAGTATTTGCTTTTGTTTAAATATGACAATAGCAGCAAATAAGCTCCTCACTGCTTAAAACTAACAAGCGTATAAATATAGCATATCCGTAAGTGCTACATCTTGAATTTCTATGGATTGAAAGCTTCTATAATTTGTTCAAAACTCATCGCAGAAATGCCTCTAAGCCAGATATACAAAATTGTAGTAACATTTGTAATGATCTCAAGCAGAAAAGTTAACCACTGCATTTACCTGCCTACGCCGAATTGTCTGCCTCGCTGATTCTCTATTTGCCAATACACGACGAAGCCTTCGTGTTTCCTTTTCAATCTGCATTTAAGTCCAATTAAAGAGGAGTAATATCATCCATTTCTTTTGAGTTGGAGGAAGAGGGGAGAAGGGAGACGAAAATAAACGATCTTGAACGCTAGGTACCTCAGTTGAAGGTTGCCTTGAGCTGCTACCACCAACAGAAAAATAACTAGTGGAACACGACAAGCCTCCTGCTTTAAATTCATCATTTTTCTCATCTTTTACAGTTCTAGTGATCACATTTGATACCCTTTCGGAAGGCTCCTTGATCACAATTGCCTGACCCTGCTATAAAACAAAAGACGCTCAATTATGCACCATTTGGAGCTCTAAAGATAAAGAACAAACATAGTAAAGAGAGATATTTCTACGAATCTACAGTCAGCTCGAATAATAAGAAACCATCTGCTCCAATGAATAGTGATTATAGCCCCTCTGAATATAAGAAAATTTCCCTTTCCACCATAAAAATGGAAATTGGAAAACCATGAAGACAAGCGCAGATAATGCAAGGAAAAGAAAGAAGGATGGGGGGATGCATGGCATTACGCTTCAAGGCACCTTTGTAATCGATAACCTTGTGTGATCATTTTTAAGCACATTCCAATCTTAAAGGCAGGCGAAGAATGTTAAGCTTCATATTTGAAATCTGTTACCAGTATAATTATGCCTTTAATTTAGTTTGTTTTTTAATTAAAAAAGGAGATACTGCTAGCAAAAATGTCTAAAAGAAAACATGTCCACCAGCATTGTTTGAATTGAAGGATCTGATATGCTGGTGTATTCCAACCAAAAGTATCACTACCGGGGAAGACGCATTGTATTTATTAGGTTACAAGAAGCCAAGTGCCATGGCCCTATACATTGTAGTTAATGATTTGTATAAGGTGCAAACTAGCGACGATATTTAAGAGAGAATCTACGGGTAATGAGCAGCTTAATCCCGTATGTCATCCCCATAATGAATGGCAAAAGTCGTTTTAAGATCCACCCTAGACCATCTACGTAGTAGGACTTAGTCTAATGGTAATAGGATCTTTGTGTTGTACAAGCACGGAGAGTTATTTCTTAACTTAGGTGTATGTGTCTCAAGTGCAGTAAAACTACACAACTTCCATTGGTTGATTTTTAAGTACTTGACGTTGCTACTTCTGCCTTCAAATAATGAACGGAAATTGTCAATACAATTAGGACAATTCAAGTGAAATCAAATACAGTTTAAAAGTAAAAATTTATGATTTACTTGAAAGCAAGAAAGCAAGAGGGATGGGTTGGGTTGTATGGACGGAGGGAGTGTAAGTAAGAGATCTCTCGAGTTCGAGTCATCCTGCTTACACTTAAAAAAAAAGGTAAAAAAAAAGCACATAAAACGATTCTTCATTGCGGACAAATTAGTTTTGCATTCACGAATCATTAGACATGTATCGATTCAAAGAATCAAAATCATATAAACCATTGAATATCACATCAAGAATAGAATAAAGTTATCATCCAGATATTAATTCCTAATCAAAATTTATTGCAATTCGGAGGTTTATTGGTACGCATGATCATGAATGGCGGCTACACATATTTATTGTTATTTGTCATCTTAAATGGTACCAAGTAGCTAGCTTTCCTACCCGAATTACCAGTAGGAATAGCAACAGGGTGGGGCGAGGGCAAATAGTCCACCACCCGCTCCCGCCAACCTGCCCTGCTTCCCCCATGGGAGCACCTTCTCCGCCCATTGTTATTGTGTTTTTTTTTTGGTTGAAGAAAAAAAGTATTATTGCATAAAGTGTAATTAAAAATTTAGTATAAATTTATTAGTAAATTTAACATAACTAATTAATAATTTCTATTAGTATACATGTGTAATTAATAATATTAATTATATTTTATATACTAATATACATTATATAATACTTATAACTAATAATAATATTATTATAAATTTATAATTAATTAAATCAAACAATATAATATATATATTTAATTTTTTCAACGGATACCGGGCGGAGATAGGGCTATACTTCCCCGCCCACCGCCCCATTTTTTAATGCCGCCGGCCCGCCCCTCCCCGGCCCCATCAGCTTCCCGCCGGGCAGGTGCCCATCCCTAATTATCAGCTATAAAAAAAAGCGCATTGCACCTTACGTGCTAATAGTAACAGTATGCGTAGTAAACAGTCGGGCAAGTAAAACTTCATGCTACAGTTAGCCGTCTAGCACTACAAACTGGTAGTAACCGTAACAGACTAGTAGTAGTGAACAAAAGTATCCAGCCCAGACAGAGTAGCATCCAGATGAACCAAACTAAATATAAGAATAGAACCTGAGGAAGATGAGGAGGTAGATCACAGGTAGAGGGCGGCTGTGATGGTTTTTGTGGTGGGAATGAGGAAGACCCGTAGTTGATCACTGGTGGGGATTCCGGTTGTTGGTGGGGCGTGGCGGAATAGGCTAAACCCGCCAAAGCTTCCGCGGCCTCCAACTCTAAGGTGATCATTTTCTCCTCCGAATCCTCCGAAGCCCCAGCAGTTGTTTTCTCCATATCCATATCCATAGCTAGTAATAGTAGTAGTAATGGTGGAGGATGATAGTGGTAGTAGTAGGAGGCCAGAAGCATCCAAGGTTATTATACTGATAGTCGTAAAAGAAAAAGAGTTGAAGAGGAAAAGCCATACAAACCCAACCCTGCGAGGAAGGTAAGGCGGCAAAGTTGTACAAATACTACCAAGCAAGCATGCTCTGATTTGTGTCGTTCCCGATCAGCAACGAAGTAAGTGACATGTGTCGCTCAGGAACGTAGCCGCACTACTTTCCAAGTCCCAGGCTCCGATTTGTGCTTCCGCCACGCGTTACCCATTGGCCACGTCGGCTGTTTCACTTGTGGAGGATGCTCGCACGTTCCCCAGCCAGCCATTGCTGATTAGGTTCTTTTTTTTCCCCCCTTTTGCCTTTTGGGGAGTTTTGGGCCTTTTTGCCCGGGGGTTGACTATTCAGTATAAATAGTGCTCCCTCCGTCCCAATATTAAAGACATTTATAGGGAATGTAACTTCTTATGTACAGTGATATCATTATTGACAGCCAAGCCTTTGTTTCAAATTTACCCTATCACAAGTACAATGGTCAACTGCACTTTGTGTTTTTCATAGATTAATGATTTCGTGGGTCCCATCTTAACCAAAAGCATTCTTTATTTGTTAGAGACACGCGCTATTATTGGCCTTATAAAGTGAGAGTTAGTTTCACGTACTCCTCTGGCTTCTCCAAATGGATAATAAATAGCAGGTCCCATCAAATTTATTTGAATTTTCTAGCACATGCACTACGAGGGCAAGGACGGAACATTAGAAGGAAAATAGTGTAGCGTGACTCTAATTTTGGGACAATAAAAAAGGTGAAATATGACATTAACAATGGGACGGATGGAGTATCTTGCTCTTCAACATAGACAGTATAAGCATGGTTAGCCGTTGCGGTTGCGTCGCGTTCTCGATTATTCCATATTCGTCGCGATATATCGATTAAATATCGGGTGATACACACATTATAGCATATAAATTTTTTTTAAAAATTTAAAAAAATTACTAAAATTAAAATATATAAAAAAGCCATAATTTAAAAAAAAAAATATAAATCGATTCCAAATTAATTCGGCTGTATCGATCGATATCACGTATCACTGACCTAAATTCATCAATATCAATCGAATCAGAGCGAATATAAAAGCCAAAGACCTCTTTAGCTGAGTTTCGTCTTTGTCGTCACCACGTGTGCTGCATGTGTGTCCTAAATAAGTGGCACGATGGCGTTTTGTGTTTTGGCTGCTGAATGTGTTTTTGGTCAATTGATGCAACGCCGTTTAGCTTCGCAGCTGACAAGAAAACATTGGTAAAAAATAATAATAATTAACCGCTGCACTTACTTTCTTCTCCGTTGTTGTCGATCGTACCTTCTTTTATGCTGGATGGAGCTTACTAGGTGGGAGACTGGCTGTTTTTGTATTACTTTTCAGCCTTGCAGCTGGAGAATTAATGAGGGTGACATTTGATTTCTTAGCTTTAGTTTTAAAGGCAAAAAAAAAAAAAATGTTAAACGTGTTTAAGGAACATTAGTGCATTTGCATGCACCAAGTTGTTGTGATATTTGGCCAAAATTATTGTGATTTTCACTTCAAAATAAGATTAGCCATATAAATATTTTTGGATATTCAAAAATGACAGATACGTATGAGACTTTAAATTGGACAGATCAAGTTGTTATTCAGGTTTTGTACTAAGATTCTAATTAGTAGTGCTTCTTGGATTGGCAACTGGAAATTCCTTAAAACAAGAAAAACCAATTTTCTACTCCTATTTTTACTGGCAGTAACTACTACCATGCGTTACCAAGATTATATTGATCGATTATCTAGGCCATTCATGAACTTCATACCTTCCAGATTTTCTTACCAAATTATGCACCAAGAGTTTTCTCAATTCAATTCTGACATCTGTAATTAGCTTAACTTTTCCTTCTTCTGTCATGTTTCTGTTCAGCAGCTTTACAGCGAGTGATGGAGATCAAAAAGCATGAATACAGGGCTCATGTTTTGGCTATTCCTGCCCAATGGTCCGGCCACATTAATCCTCTTCTTCAGCTATGCAAATCTTCGGTACGGAGGGGGGCTGAAAACCACACTTACCATTAGCAAATTCATCTCCAAAACAATGGATATAAAGTCAGAAGAAGTCCAGATTGATTTGATAACGGACGGCATTGATGATGGTGGCTTCTTCACAAAAGACAATGTCCCAACCTCCATGGCTCGCTTCGAAGATGTTGGCTCAAAATCAATTCTTGAACTCATCCAGAAGTATACATGAAGCTTTAGGGGAGCCAACTGACTACATCATCTACGACACATTGCTGCCTTTTGTGCTTGAATTATCTAAGGAACTTAAAATACCTGCAGCGGCTTTCTTAACTCAACATTGTGGTATTAACTTCATAATGCACCGGTACCATGGCTCGCTCCTCCTCACCCCCAACACCTCCGGATTTCAGTGGAAGCTCAGCTACGCTGATGTTCTGTCTTGTTCTTCTGGAGTGCAGTTGGAGTATAAAAGGTGCGGTTCTTTTGGCTTTTGGAAGATATAGCTCTCCTAGCGCTGAAGCACCCACCACCGCCCGTCCCATTTCATAATATCCTTCTGCTGTGGTTGTTGATCACACAAGCTGCGCTGTCTCAGAGACTAAGAGAGATCACACACTGATCATCTCTGATGCACTTATTCAATCTGAAGTTATTCTAGGGAAAGAAAAGATTGACGTCAGTTACGAGTCCCCTTCTTAAGTGGTGTTTGAGTTCTAACATCTGCATATTCGATGATGTCATGGCTATTGTGGCTTAATACCTTTGATTTCATTACCTTCACATTGGACCTTATGCATTTCATCATTGGGAACTTAACTTCTCACAGTTAGCTTGTTCAAGTAATTGAATGTTCTCTTTAATATGTGCAACAGGCACCTATAGTTTTCGAAGGAATTGGTCACTCGATGAACCCAAAAAATGATTTGGTAATTTAGGATGCAATTGTCTTGGATTGGAGCCTTCTATTATAACAAAATCATGTAGAATGAAAACATATAGATCTCGCTTGAACAAAAAAAAAAAATTTTTTGTGCTCCCAACATCGTTCATCACTAATCAAAATAAATACCAAATGAAGATTTGTACATATATAGCTATCATTCTAATGCTTAATTTATTTTTTTTTAGCATTAGAACTTTATTACTTGCTCCTACTATTTATACCATTACTTCAATAGATATAAAGCCATACTACAGGTTTAAATAATTTACGCCTAACTGGCATGCATGATATTTTTCTGCCGAAACCGCGTCCGATATGCCGAGACCGACGTGGAACGGTCCAGACCGCGACCGCAACTTTGAACCATGATCACAACAGGGCAACGAACGATAGCACAAGGTCATCTCCTGCGCAGACCGTCATGCACCATGTGCTGAGTTTCCTGCTGAACGATGGCAATGTCTAGTGATTGGTTCGATTCTACCAGCAGTGTCCTATTGTTATATACAATTAAGGGTCGGAAGAATGATCAAAACTTGTTTGGTGTCTATATTAATCCTAAAATGACTACCAAAATCTTAATGATAATAATCCTCACAAACTGTAGGAGATGAAGATCTGCTATTAAAACATATAAACGTTGGTGTTAGTTAAGTCGGGATGAATTGAGCAGTGTGCCAAGGACATGAAGCAAAGAAACATCCGTTTTACCGTTCTATTATTGACTGTTGAGTAAATACGTAAAATTTTCAAGACAAGATTTTCTTTCATCGAGGAAGGAAACTAGTTAAGATCAAATATGTATGCCGGGAAGGGTAGCTCAACGCCCTAAAAGATGTAACAGAAATTAATTTTTAAAAAAATCTCATAATCATAATTTGAACTATTCTGATCCGGAATATGCAAATTTCTGTCAAAGGAGAAAAAAGGGCACAACCGAGAAATTAGTGGTCATGATACGGCAAGCAGAAAGCCTCAAAAAATCATCATAATAACTAGTCAATTTGAACTCACTGGCTAGCTCGAAAAACCCTGCGAATTTTGCCTCTGTATACGGCAAGGGGGAAAAATCTGTTTTTTTTTTTTTTTGGGTCAAGCATGTATGGCAATGTCAATGGCCCCAAAACTAAATAACGTTAGTAGAAGGTTAATTTGGCTTCAAGCTCAGCTCGCGATCGAATTTCAAACATCCTTGTCGGCCCAAATGATTTAGAGATGGGAAGCCTGATTTATGAAGGAAACAAAAAATTCTATAATAGAGACAGAATTGTGCGATGCCACTGCCTCGAACAATGTCGAATTGTGACTGCATGAATGGAAGCAAACCCAACAAAGAAGGTTTCATGGCTGCAAAAATTATTATTGGATAATTTTTTGTGTGTGCTAAATGTTAGGATCTATTGATATATTGATTGAATTTTGATTATGAAATGGAAATGAATGCAGAAATGTGGTGCCTGTAATTTTTTTTTTTTTTTTGGAGGTATGATCCGCTCATACCCCAAAAAATAAAGAATATAATGGGTGCAATTTTGAGGGACATGAGAAGTGGCGAGAGGGAAAATGCAGAATTGAAGATTGAAATCAACACGTTGAAGGCAAAAGTGAAAATATATTTGTTCTTGGCTTGTGTCTGTTGCTGCATTTAGTTTTTGTTGTACTTGAAGGCAAGCAAAGGCAGAAGTAAGGTTTGCTGGAATTGAAGATGTTGCATTAGTTTTGAACACTATATGAAATTTTATGGTCCATATGTTCTAGAAGTTGTAATGCTGTACTTTTAAAATGAAGTAATTCCTGAATTTTCATCTAAGTAATGAAAGTTTTGGATTTGGATTGTTTAGTATATGTAATAGTTTTGAAAGTTTTCGGTGTCAAATTCAATGTTATTTCTTTACCCTTTCTTGGTTCCTCAATTAGGACCCTGACCGAATTTTGCCTTGACCTCAATTTAAGGTTGCCTTGACCTGCTACCACCAACAGAAAAATAACTAGTGGAACACGACAGGCTTCCTGCTTTAAAAATAACTTGGATTTTTTGAAGCATGGATGCAATTTTAGAAGACCTTGACGTACAAATAGCATTGGATGATTGTTAGCTCCTGCGGAGAAGACATCACTCCAACCATGTCCTTGCGTTAAATCCCAAGTTAATGAACTATGCCCTTTAGTCCGGTTTGTTTGGATTGTTTCGTATTTTCCCAATTTTATTTGCTTACATCATCTTTACAATTTCCAATACACCTTTTTATCTTCCCAATATCTTTTTATCTCACATGCAT